CAAGACAACTCTGAAGTTATGATGAAAAATGCTATACATCCCCAAAGAAAGAACTGATGGTGTCTGGATACAGATTGACACATTCTTTTTTTTTTTACTTTATTTTTCATGAGGATTTTGGGGGTTGTTTTGTTTTGTTTTGTTTTTGCTTTTTGGTGAGGCGATCGGGGTTAAGAGACTCTCCCAGTTAGTGTCAAGTGTCTGAGGTTGGATTTGAACTCAGGTCCTCCTAACTCCAAGGCCAGAGCTCTATCCACTGTGCCACCTAGCTGCCCCTTCATGACTTTTTTTTTGTCTGTTTTCTTTCACAAGATGACTATTACTGAAATATTATGCATGACTACATATATATAACCTATATCGAATTGCTTGCCTTCTCAATAGGGTGTGGGGGAGGACAAAGAGGAAGGGAGAGAATTTGGAACTCAAAGTTTTTAAAACCAATGTTAAAATTGTTTTTACATGTAATTGGGGGAAAATAAATTACTAAATAATTGAGAAAAAAATTGACGTGTCTCTCCATTCCAGAGACCAAAAGTAGGATAAGAGTGCAATTCAATACGAAGCAATGGCAGTATGAATTCAACCACGATCTCTCCTCCAAAAGGGAATTGTTTGTTACATTTCAACAGGGTTTTATACCGAAAATATGTACCTACCAGAAAGCAGCAATTCATGCACATAACGTTTGCTGATACTTGTCCAATATAAAAATACTGGAAAACTTTTAGCATTTACTCTAAGGAAAAAGGTGCCTTTTCAAAACAATTAGGTGTTTCAACCACCAGGAGATACAAATCATATGACACAGAAGTTCAAAAACCTGTTCCCCTCAAAGACCAAATGTGAAAATACTCCATACAAGACAAATCCTCTGCTGAGTGAAGTGAGCAGAACCAGGAGAACACTGTACACAGTAACACCTACACTGTGAGATGACTTTGATAGACTTAGCCCTTCTCAACAATGCAAGGATCTAAGACATCTCCAAAAGTCTCATGATGGAAAATGCTATCCACATCCAAAGAAAGAACTATGGAGTTTGAATGCAGATCAAAGCATACTATTTGCTATTTTTTTTCTTCTATTATGTTTTGTTTCCTCTTTCTGGTGGTTTCTCCTATTGGTTCTAATTCTTCCTTACAACATGACTAATGTGAAAATATGTTTAATAGGAATGTATATGTATAGCCTATATCAGATTGCAAGCTGTTTTGGGGAGGGAGGTGGAGAGGGAGGAGGAGAAAAATTTAAAACTCAAAAGCTTACAGAAATGATTCTTGATAAAATCAAAATTAATTAATTAATAATAATTTTTAAAAAGACAAATCCTTTTCCAATCTAACAGCAAGCAGATTTAGTACACTTGAATAATATACCTTGAAGGCAGACATCTCATTTAAATTCTTCCTAAAGTACTAAGCACAAATCATTACAATTCCAACTGTATTTAGACAACCATGGGGTGTTCTGAAATTGTACTACCTTTTAGGTATGTGGGCCAATTTCAAATAATCTCCATCTAGTGTGACAGATCAATTGATCTGGCATTAAAGGACCAGGGTTCAAATCCTGAACCTGCCACTTATTACTTTGGACAGGTCACTAAATCTCTCTAGACCTCATTTTCCTAACCTGTCTTACAAGGGAGGTGAGACTTTTTAAGTTCCCTCCATTCCTAAAATTCTATAACCCTCCAAATCCACCATAACATTACAGTAACAGAGTGTATGTATGTGTGTGTAAATCCACATACTTTGATATGCCAGCAAAGAAGTTATCAAAGTAAACAAACCAAGTGGATGGGTAGATAGCATTCAAATTCAGTCTTAACTTACACTATGAGTGGTCTCAGATGTTGTCTGATGTGTTGTTAGTGAGGTTCATATTTGTCATCTACCAAGTGTTAAGTTCAACTTGCAAAAACAGAAGGCTGAAACCAAAAAATACATATAAAATAAAGCATAGTGCTCTATAATCTCACCAAGCCATGATGGGCCTTTTTTCTTTTTTCTTTCAATTCATTTTGAACTTAAAATGCTTTGCAAACTGTAAAGTGCTAGACCATAGGTTTCCAAAGGGGGCAATACCACCAACGATCTAGGAGGTGGTAGTAGCCTCAGGTGCAACCAGGGGGTGTTGAATAAAAATAAGGGAGCAGTGGAAGCATGAGGAAAGAAGAAAAGATAACAAAATTTTGAAAAACTATTCATACATGTTTCATCTGTTGTGTAACAGTTAAAGTCGTAGCGATTACATTGTTTTCCAAATAAACATACAAAATGTAAGTTATAACTGATCCATCATCAAGTCCACTGACAGGTCTTAAGAAGAAAGTGTTGGCAGGCAAGCCTGTGGAACATTGTTAGGAAGTCCTGCATGCACGGGCAGGAATATGTATGTGTAATGACTTGTTTACAATACGATACTATCAGGTTACATGACACAATGCATCATCAAAATTTCAATGCAGGAAAAAACCCACAAATTTGCAATAAATTATTAAATTTAAGAAGCATCATTTTTAAAAAATTTTGTATTTTTTTGAAATGACATAAATTTCAAAAAACTGTTAAAGGGTTAAAGAAAGTAGATTTCCAAGGGGGAACTGAGTAATTTTCTTTTTTTTTTTAAAGAGGGCAGTAGGCCAAATAAGCTGGGGAACCTCTAAGCTAGACAAACATAAGCTGTCACTGTTATTGGCTCAAGAGATGTTCCTAAGTGGATGACATTGTACTGAGTACACTGAACCCTAAAAACTACAGAGATATATAGCCACTAAAAGACTACTGGTCTAGGAACCCACATAAGAAAAACCCAAGTGAATAAGGAATGAATATTGCCCAGATTATGACAAGAAGTTAGACTGGCTGAGTTACTTCACCAACAACATATCTATCTTCCAACAGATGGACAATAAGACAGATCCAGAATTGAACAGAAAGGAGAGCGTGGCCTGGAAGGCATTGGGGGAAACAGCACAGAGCATTCAAAAGTCCCAAGCTATTCCAAACTACAAAAGCTGCCTCCTACCAAGAGGCTCCTGGTGACACCCAGTGTTTGCAAAGCATGGCACATCACCATCTCTCAAAAAACCAAAACTGAAGTTTGACCTAAAGGACAATGAAGAGACATAGAGTGGGTATAAATAAACTGCAGCATATCATCAATGATGACTCACACTCAAGAAATGGCATCAACAACAGGTATGACAAGAAAAGGAGGTAAGTCAAGGAGTGAGAGTGAAGAATGACAGATGGCCAGCCTAAGGGTTGCACTGGCATTCATGAAACATTACAACCTGGAGGAAGTCCTCTGTTATGTTAGGCAGAAGTTCTGTGGAGGATTTATGGAAGGACATTGACAAGAATCACACAGGAAGAAGAGGCACAAACGTTCAATGATGGAGGAAGTATCCACACTAACAAGATCACAGATTTATTAAAAGCATCAGAATGTTATTGGCTCTGGACTACTGGCAGCTAATATCCGCTCAGAAATGCACCTGCTCATATACATTACAAAAGCTGATTTTAGAAGCTAAGTCCAAATATAATTGATTATATCAATATGTCAATTTGCTTTCAAAAATAATAGCTAATATTTATATAGTGTCTTAAGTTTATTCCTTAAAATTATTCTAAATAACTTACCTTGAATGGAGATGAGCCTCAAATGATTTTTTTACCAGATCAAAAGGGACCTAGGCCTCTTATTAACTAAGAAATGGTACCACCAACTTCTCTAGCCACTGACCACACCAGTCACAGGATATTCACCTGTTGCAGGCATGAGTTTTCTAATAGCAGAGAAGTTTCAAGGCCTTATGCTACTGATCATGCCACTTCAATGTGAGCACCAAAATCTGGCTTACTTCTCTAAGGGTCTGATCTCAATTTAACAAATAACTGAAGCACTCAACATTTTCACACAAGATACTTTATCCCTTGGGACCTCATTTGCCTCCTCTGTAAAATGAAGAGGTTAGACGAGAGAACTTCTAAAATTCCTTCCAACTCTAACTTTCTCTAATCAACAGCATGGAGGGTGGCTCTTTTTTCCCTCCACCTTTCAAATAGCTACCTGAAAAAAAAATGGAAACTCACTGCCTCAAAAAATAGGCTGGTCAGTCTCAGAAAGACTCAGCTGGGGAACTTACCTATACTATATTAAAGTCCTTGTTTTGTAGAAGGGTGACTGGATGATTTTATGACCATTAAATATAGACGCTCCTAGATAATAACAGCATTAGCTTCAACACTAACCCTAGCTTATATTTATCTAAGTCCTTTCATCCAGGAAAGAAGGCATATCGCCAGGTGTCAGGTACTCAAGCAAAAGTCAAAAAATGGCAACAATAATAAATATTTATCATAAGACAGAAACAATTTTGATCCTAAAGAAATTAGAGTGGTGGAACCCTACCTTAACACCTAAAAAATACCACAGTAAGAACTGGCTACTACCAGATATACAACACAGAGAGAGGTAACATGGTAGAGGAAAAAGAACTGGAGTTGGAGGAAGAGGACCTGGGTTTGAATCCAAAAGATGATACTTAAAAAGTCTCTGAAATTATACAAGTCACTTAACCTCTCCAGGCCTGAGAGTCTTATAAAATGAGGGGGCTGAATTAGATCCCCTCTGAGGTCCCTTATAGCTCCAAATCTATGATTCTAAATCCCCTATGAACTTAACTGACGTGATAGGTAGGGTCTAATGAAAGAAAACTACAAACAAATTTACTTACATGCAGGGCGTATTTAATCGCTTAGACAATTTCAACAACGTTAGTTTTTAAAACAGCAAGCAATGTACTAAATTCCTGAGCTCTATCACTTCCCAAAGATCTGGTATTTAAGGAAGATATGGGTGAAGGAGGCAGAAAGAGAGGACTCCAGGTAAAGCATTCTTACCCCTATCATAATCTGTCTATTCATTCATGCAGCATGATTCTCAAGCAATTAGAGTAATTACGCAATGAGTAAACTTCTTCATACCTCATGGGTAAGGCCAAGCCATCTTGTAGGCTTGGGAGTCCCAGGTCAGAGAGAGTATCTGAGCTGACAGAAGCTGGTGACAAAGATCCTTCTTTCTCTTCCAGCAGATCCAGTTTCACCAAACTGCTGATCTCATCCTCAGAGTTATCTTCGGACACAGAGCCAATTATGAATCGAGAGCGCTGGTTCAGCTCCAGAGGCTTGGCCACAGGAGAAGGCTCATCCATTATGTCATCAAAATAGGTTCTTAGAGCTAGGGAAAAAACATAAAACTTACAGAGCAAAACCAAACAGAATGAATAATCAAGTAGGAATAGGGCAGGATTGGAGAAATACCCTTTCTGAATATTTCAGTGCTTTTATTTTCCCAAATATGAGATGAAATCTAGTGTCATACCACCTACCCTACCCCTAAGTAGTAAATAGCAGCAATTAATCCCTTTCTTTCCCCAAAACTTCACACATTTTCTCCAAGTTTCTTAAGCCATCTCTCAAAAATTTAGGGCTGTCCAACTTGCAATTATAAGGGAACCTTACAAATGTAGTCTAGGAAAGCTTCTGGTTTCCAAATATAATACTGATGTGTTAAGTTTTATTGTGTTTTTTTAAAAATTGGTATTTATTTAAATTATATATATTATTACTGCTTGATTAAAAACCAAGTAGCAACGATTGTCTGGCTCTGCTCCTTCCTACCTGTGGGACTCTGGACAAGCCACTTCAACTTTCTGGGCCTCAGTTTCCTCATTTGTAAAATTATGCAGTTAGAATACAAAGCCTGTAAGACCTCTTCTAGCTCTAGGGTTCTAGTTACTTTTTGTGGTCATATCTTTAAAATTCATTGTGGGTAATATTTACATCAACTATGTCAAGGACACAAGATTTCCTTAATGGACGCATTTCCTCAACAATCCATATCAGACTGGCACTGCAGAGGTCCTGGATTTAAATCCTGACTCTACCCCTTCCTACCTATGGGACCACAGGCAAACTACTATAACTCTTTGGGCCTCAGTTTCCTCATCTGTAAAATTGTGGGATTGTACTACACGGCCTCTAAGATCCCTAGTTCCAGCTCTAATTCTCTAGGTCTCAAAGAGTTAAGCAACTGGAGTCAGGGGTAGCGAACCTGCGGCCTCCAGGCCACATGTAGCCTTTTGGGTCCTTGGATGCAGCCTTTTGACTGAGTTCCAAGTTTTATAGAACAAATCCTTTTATTAAGGGGATTTGTTCTGTGACGTCTGGATTCAATCAAAGGGCAGAACTTGAGGACCTACAGGGCCACAGGCAGCCTTGAGGCCACAGGTTCCCCACCTCCGGACTAGACCATGCATGGTCACATCACTAGTAAGTACCAGAGATTTGAACTCAGGTCTTTCTGACTCTAGGTCCAATATTCCCACCACTGTGTATATATCATGAAATATATAATTAAAAAAAAATCCCAGCTCTAACACTCAAGGGCAAATCCATGACATTTTAAGTTAAAGACTGTTTATGATCTTCATTATTGGAAAGAGTCTCTATACCAATGAAACCATAAATACATGACATATTGATAGGGGTGTATATGCACACATATGTAGATATACAGATATATCTCCCAGTATCTAACATAGTACATTATACTTAGTATTCACTTAAAACCTTGTTGAATGAATATATACGTATATATGTATATGTACATATATACGGGGAGAAAAAAAAGATACATCACTTTGGAATAAATTCCAGAATATATTTTGTTTTTTCAAAAATGATCCTACTGGGGCAGCTAGGTGGTGCAGAGAATAGAGCACCAGCCCTGAAGTCAGAAGGACCTGAATTCAAATCTGGCCTCAGACCAAACATTTGACACATACTAGCTGTGTGACCTTGGACAAGTCACTTAACCCCAACTGCCTCACTAAAAAAAAAAAAGATCCTATTATTGGCTTTTACTTCATTGTGTTGAATTATACATGCAGGAATTTCCAACAAAAAAATCATCACCTCTTGACATTGGCTTAAACATGAGCAAGCAATGAATCTATCATCAAATGTCAACAGTCATGAAAATGTCGCTTGAAATAAATTTGATATTCTTCGACAGAGTATCTTATTGGATGTGGACCACACAACGCCAAGCAGAGGCAAGTGACTATATGGGAAATAGAAAGTATGTCTAACAAAAGCATGCAACAAGACAACTAAGGGAAACAAGACTCATTCTGTCAAACAATGCAATCAAGCTGTAATATCAGAAAGCTTCAAAAGCATTGTGTTTAGCTCAGTATCAAACAACTTGCAGCCATTTTGTTCTATTTAAGCGCATCCCAGCACTAATTTTGTGACATTTCAACATGTCTATCTTATGAGAATTATTTGCATTCCATTATTATGCAAGCAGCTTTCAGAAAGCCTAGGAAGACTTACATGAACTGATGCAAAGTAAAATAAGCAGAACCAGGAGACTACTGTACACAGTAACAGCAAAACTATACAATGATCAACTGTGAATGACTTAGCTATTCTCAGCAATACAATGATCAAAGGCAATTCCAAAGAACTTACAATGAAAACCACTATCCACATCCAGAGAAAGAACTGATGTAGTCTAAATATAGACCGCAGCATACTTTAACTTTCTTTACTATTCTTGGGGTTTTTTTGGTCTGCATTTTCTTTTGCTATATGGTTAATATGGAAATGTTTTACATGATTGCACATGTATAATCTATATCAAACTGCTTGCCTTCTCAAGGAGGGGAGAGATGAAGGAGGGAGGGAAGGAAGGAAGAAGAGAATATGAAACTCAAAATGTTTTCAAAAAGAATGTTAAAATTTTTCATTTACATGTAATTGAAAAAATTAAATTAAATATTAAAAAAAATTATTTTCATTCCAAAAAATAACTAAATGCCATAAAGGATCTTGGGAGAGTCAGGTATGAAGAAGTAGGAGTATCATTAAATCAAACAACAGAACACCAAAATTAGGGATTACTGATCTAGAGAACAAAGTTATTTCTTCCCCCTTTATAGTACACATGTAAAAACTGCTTAAGCACTATTATTTTAGAAAGATTTTTTTTTAAACCTCTAAATGAATACAGATTCTCTTAAAGGAGCAAAGCAATTTTCATAAAAGCTAGATGTTAGAGGAATGACTCCCAAATTTATCAGGAACTGAAACATATAAACATCTCCTAAAAGAGAAAAATAGAACTTTTTTTTCTCACAAAACTGTAAGAAAATATGAAAATTCATACAATAGATATAGAAATAGATATATGTTCATTAGATAGTTCTCCAGTGTGTATAACAGGTCCTCTACATAAGTGAAACTTTTGTTTTTCTTTTTTTTTTTTAATATATTTTTCTAGAAGTTTAAAAGGAAAGCCAGTAGGTTTGAGGGTTCTATTTTGTTTTGTCTTTAAAAACAACAGCTAGAAAGAATCACCCAGAATAAAAACAAAGGGTAAAGCAGACAAGAGGAAATTAAACAATTTCCACATTTAAAAAGCCCAGAATAATGTAGTCTGAAAAGAATCACTCACATGAGAAGATCCAATAAAAATACCCAACAGAAAGGAGAAAAAGAATAGCTGCTTTTTTGTTTATGAGAGGTACACAAGTGATAGGTAAAATATTCAGGAGGAGATTCTACTTGTTGGTCAGGGTCAGAACTGAAGCGTAAAGCATTCCATCTGGGATCCACAGTTACACTTCCACATTCAATAAGATGGATAAGGACAGGAACTGGACCTCTGATTTCATTGGTACAGGGAGCTCCCAGAAGAGGAAACTCCTTCAGATGTAGGTTGGTGTGTTAAGAGTCTTAAAGGCTGCAATTTAGGGTCTTAAAGACTCAATCATCTAAAAACTAGCCAAGACAGATATAATAAAAAGAGATGTGAATAAGAAAAGAAAATCTGACCCTGGGAACATTAAACCAGAGGGTCTTTGGAGCCTGTATTGCCAACGTTCCCCTCTTGGGGGAGTGAGACAGAACAATTTGGCAACCTGTCTTAATTAAATGTGCCAAAGGTTGGGAATGGCTTGATCCCTACACCTAACAACTTCTTGTTTGTTGCAGTTTTTTTTCCCCAAAAGTGGGCCAAATAATGAGAAATCCACATGAGAGCCAAGCAGATCAGAAATACATGTGATGGCTAATGTGGAAATGTTTCACATGACTTCCTATATATAATGGGTATTGTATTTCTTGCCTTCTCAATGGGTTGGGGAAGGGATAGAAAGAGAGAGTGAATCTGAAACTGACAATAAAAATTTTAAAATTTTTAAAAGGGAAAAAAGAAATCCATGTGAGTGATCTCTTAAAAAATTATAAGAAACATGGATTTGAAGCAGTAGTCTTAAAACCATTCAAAGGAATTTAACCAACTCTTAATTCACATTTAAATGAAGAGTTATAAACCTAGTGCTAGCTGCTGAACAATTAAAATATTGGTATATTTAAGAGACCAAACTATTCTTGAACTATGGCAGGTACTCAATATGCAGAAATCCCAACTGTGAGAAATAAGATGCTATCACTGATGGTGGTTCCCAGCTCTGCTTTTAGGAGTTTCATGAAACAGACTGTACTTACACAAATTCAGGAAGACCAAAACATGCTCCAGAGTTTGGTCACATGTGTAGAAACTTCAGTTGGTTAGGTCTTATCGTTCGGCAACTGCATGTGTGCTGAGTAATCACCTAATTAAAAGACTAGGTCTTTTTTAAATTCTGAAAAATGCCAGTCAAACTATCCCCAAGTCAGCCAAGCTACAGTTATCCCACAGAAGGTAAGTCAGGTCTAGTGGGGAAGTCATAGGATAAAAGATCTGAAAGAGATCTGAGTACATGTAGCTCAACCTCATTTTAAAGATGAGTAAACTTGGAAATGAACCAAAGTCACCACTAGGGGAAAAAAAAGACAAAGGAGAACCATAGAGTAAATGTCCACATACTTCAAAAACAAGTCCATGTCCTATCCCATCTCAGTTGATTCTATTATCTATTCAGAGAACTGCATTCAGATCTAGAGATCAGTCAGAGAAGGGTGGGGAAATAATTAATTTCTCTACATATTATTTCTGCCATAAGCTCTTTCCTCATACAATACCTTAACACTAGTTTTTCCATTTCCAAATAGCAGGATCACTTTTTTTAAACTCGCCTTGCAATTTAAATATTTTACACATTAATTTTTGTGACATTCCAAACATTATAGACCATTATACTTACCTCTTATAATTCTTACAACGTAAGAAGATATCCACCTCCAGAAAGAACTATTTAAAAAAGAGAGAGAGAAGTTTAATGATGAAGTTCATTTCTAGTCTTTTTTTTTTTTTTACTCAGGAGAGTACAAAATTAATCAACCCTGCCCTCCATTCCTCCAGGCATTTATGAAACACTTACTTCTATAAGCCACTCTGCCAGATATTGAGGATCCAAAGACAGAAAGAAAAACAGCTCTCCTGGAGCTGACATTCTGCTAGGGGTGAGGTAGAGGGGGGTAGGGGGAGAAGATAGAACATATATACAGCCAAATAAATGCAGGATCATTTAAAAAAGGAGTAAGCCCAAACAAATGATGAGAAATGGGCTTCCCTCATGTCACACAAGGGTGGAGCCTTAAAAGACACTATGGTGAGGAAGTAAGGCCTAGGTGACAGCCAGGGAAACGGAGAGTGAAGGGAGAGATGCGATGGCAAGTAATGGAGCTTGGCTGGGATATAGACTGAGTGAAAAGGAGTCATAGAAACAATCTGTAGAAGCAGCAGATTGAAGAGCTTTAAACGTAAAGCTTAAGAATGTGTATTTTGTCCTAAGGAGTCACTAAAGATCCTCAAGCAAGGGGCAGCTAGGTGGCGCAATGGATAGAGCACCAGCCCTGGCTTCAGGGGAACCTCAGTTCAAATCTGGTCTCAGACACATAACATTTACTAGCTATGTGGCCGTGCCCAACTCACTTAACCTCATTGTCTAGCCCCCCCCACAAAAAATAAATTAGATCCTTAAGCAAACGGGTAATTCAAAACACCATCTCTCTGGTGAAGTCTATCAACTTAAAGTATGTTTAGTTCTCCAACTACCACTTTATTCACTGTGCCAACCACAGGATAAGCAAGGCAGCCCAGCTAAAGCAGAAAGGAACCCTGAGAGAGACAAAGGAGGAAATGGGCAGCCGAGCAAGTCAAACATCACCACCACCACCACCACCCCCTACATCAATGCAGATGGCTCAGGACCCTGGGCCCAAGAGCCTTTGGAATAGTAATGCCTTCAGCCCCTCAGCCATCATCCTGAGAAGTAACCAAACCCTTCTGGTTGTATATTTTGATCTTTTTCACCAAAGTAAGACAACATAGTCTGACTCTTTTTGCCCTGCCTGCTCATGATCCTGGCCAATTACTTGAGTTTTAAACTCTTTGTTAAGTTACGAATCTGCTTCCAATGTGGAGAATGCACTGTCCCAAGCTTTGGAGGGTTTGTACAGCTGTTTTCAGAGATACTTGTAGGGACCTGTAAATTTTCAGTTCTTTCAAGGTGGTATGATAAGGGGCGAGGTGTTTACTCCTTTCCTGGCCTATGACAACAAGTACTCCTTTCTGTCCTGTAACTGTGAGGAGGGGCTCCTCTGCACAGCCACTACAAGCTCTACCAAGCCAGCGCTCCTCCTCACCCCAGCACCGCCGCCCAGAACTGTGGCCCAGATCCAAACACGGGCAAAGCAAGAGATTCTGTCTCAGCACTGGCAAAGAGATCCCTGCAATCCCTCTCTGATCAGCCACTGGATTCCCCCTCAGTCTGTGGGCTGGAAGCTCAGGAAGCAGCTGCCCCCCCCCCCAGGGCCAAGCTCTTGGGGAATGGAGCTGAAACCCTACCTTCCTCTCTGAGCACAGCAGAAACAGACTTTTCCCACTGACCTTCTAAGCTGTCTTTGGCATTGGTGGATTGAGGAGTCTGGAAACCTCCACAGCTGTGGGCGATTCAGTCCTCTGAGGCCTGCTCCAGGTTTGCTGCAGCTTGCGCGCCCACTCCGCACTGTGCTGAGCTGCCAGCCCGGCATGATACACCTTTCTGATCAATCATCCAGGTTGTCTTGGGCTGGAAATTTGTTTCACTCTGTCTTTTTGTGGGTTCTGCTGCTTCAGAATTTGTTTAGAGCCATTTTTAATGAGTATTTGGAGGGGTCTGGGGGACAGCTCAAGCAAGTCACTGCTTTCACTCCGCCATCTTGGCTCCACTTCCCCCATTGCCCAGAAGTAACCAAACCCCATGGAGATGCTACCTGGCAACTGCTCTAGCAGGCACTACAGCCACAGCTAGTGAAGACCCTGAAAAGAAAGTTCTTGCTACCAAAGACCTTGGCACCATCAAATGGTTCAACATCAGAAACTGATATGTTTTTATCAGTGGAAATGACATTAAAGAAGAGGCATGAATATCTGCTTTGCCACTGCATCCTAAGGACCAAGAGACCTTTCCATCTGACTTGCAACTTGAAACCTTCCATTCGCATTAGAATATGAGCTTTCTGAAGGCAGGAACTGTCTTACTTTTCTAGTTGTATCCCACAGTGCTTTGCACTAGAAAGTGCTTAAAAAAAGCTTCAGTCATGAATTCAGGTCTTCAAATTAAAAGCATTTATTACACTGCTGATGGAGTTGTGAATTACGGCAAACTCCTTGAAATGCATTACAGAATTATATTTTAACCTCTCACTACTAGAATAATATCCTAAAGATACTATCTATTAATGGGGGGGAGAGGGGCCAGAAAGTAAAAAGGGGAGGCCAAACTGTACAAATATATTTCTAGTAGTCCTTTTTGTAACAGCAAAAAGCTAGAAACAATTCACATGTCCAATGACTGAAAGACAGCTAACAAAACTGTAGAACATTAATATAATGGCATAATACATCAACAAGTCTTTATTAAGCAGCTAAAATGTAACAGAAGAACAAGTATGAAAAACACAAAGACTGATAAGAAACAATTTAGAATGAAGAAAGCAGAACCAAAATAATGATACATATTAACTACAACTATGCATTTTTTTAAAAGCCAAAAAACACACAAAAGACAGAATTAAGTTTAAAGAGACTTAAAAGCAAACAGGATAGTTTTATACAACTTTTTAAAAGATATATTTTAAAAATAAAATACAAAGAAAGTTTACAATTTTACATAAAATCTTCTCTTATCTGAACATTTATATTTGCTGATAATTAGGCTTGTAATAAAATTAAGGGAAAAATTATCAATAAGATTTTGTACTTCTATACACTCATCAAATCCATCATTCAGTGTTAGAACAAAAGCCCTAGCTGCCATTCTACAAATATCTTTTCTAGCTAAAATTACTTTAATGGATCTTTGACTTCACTGATGTAGGTACTCCTCCAATAGTATGAATCACAACCCATGTAATGCCTTCTTACTCTTTTTGACAACCTTCCACATCCTCCACAAAATCATCTACAACATACGTGGCACACCTGTGCTGAAAGCCTTCCCCTGGATCTCAAGTTACTGCATGGATACAAATGGAGCACACAGGCTCTGCAACAATGATCCCTTGCTCACTGCTCTTTGGGTCTCCCCAAATTTTAACTCTTCAAAGGCCATAAGGCATTAGTGAATAAAAACTGATATTTAAAAGGCAAACCTTAATTTTAAGCCCAAGCTTGGACTCATGAGAAGCAGAAAGGCAACCCCAGGAGGAGCCTTAGATCAATTCTGAGCTCAGCTCACCAGCCATCTACAGGGCCTAACCCAATTACATGGAATGATGGACCAGCTTTAGAGACTATCTTACTGCACACTGCAGTCTAGATAACAGGAATTCTTCACCCACTTGGTCTTTTTTGTATGCATAGTTGAGCTAAACTTTTTGAGTGATTAGAGATCTCATTTAGGAGTCTCTGCAATGTTCCAGGACAATAGTGCAATCTATAGAGAGGAGCATCTGGAGAACCTTGCCACATGTAGGCAATATTCCTTCCATTTGGACTCTTCCCTGGATGTCCTTCTGGACAACAGAAAATACCTTTGGTGAGGATACAGCTCCCTGTTTTATGACTTACTTGATATTAATAATCAGAGGGTCAAAGTTATCTAATACATCGTTCAAGGAATCTTGTATGATTTTGATATATGCATGAGAAACCTTTAACATGATATGCACATTTGACTCATTCACTAAAACTTTTGATCAACCGTGACCATAAAGATGTAGCCTGCTATATCATTTGTGAGAGCCTATCTCAATACTTCATTACACTTCATCAAGGATGTCTTCATCATACATGCAAAATATTTCATTAAGATTTTATAGAAGTGAGAATAGGTGTATGGGTTGGTCATTAGTAATATTTTCTTGGTCATTTTTTTTTCAATAGCAACAAGGTTTGAGATTTTTCCCCCCTAATCACTGCATATTCTCCACTCTTTCAGATATCTTGAGAATTGGTCCTTTGGTGCTCTGAAAATTATATTACCTATGGTACAGACTTCCTTGTATATACAGTTTTGTCCAGCAGCAATTCCAATATTTGTTTTCTTTAGTGCCATTTCTACTTCCTCATTCAAGACACTAGTTGCCCTAATCCTAGACCTGAAGTCAAGAAAAACCTGAGTTCAAATCCCACTTCAGACACTCATTAGCTGTGTGACACTTTGACAATTATTTAACCTCTCTCAGTACAGCATAGGCATAACAGCATTTGTCTCATACAGTTGTTGTAAGGATGAGTTGACATAATATATTTAAAGCGTTTTACTTAAAACCACCTTTAATGTGCTATTATGTCGTACATTAAGATTTATCAGGTTAAGAATCCAAATGTGGTGGTTTCAGTGTTTATGATGAAGAAAATGTTTGTTACAGAAAACTTTACAGATCTCCATTTTTCACCTATTCATTGTCCTCCTTCCAGTTTCAGTCCTGAATGCCCTTGTGATGCTTTTGCTTAGTTGAATCTCTCAACAAGCTTTGTGTAAATTTGACTTTTCCCCCACCCCACCGCTTTTGCCTGTTCCATGAGGCAAAACTTCTCACAATCTTCCAATATCCTTTTCCATAATATTTTATGGCTCATTCTCAACTGGTATTGCCCTTAGGAGCCATATCTTTCACCTTAGTAAGAGCATATGTTTACTGGCTGATAGAGTTTCTGGGTTCTTCTGGTCCTCCTAAGTTGTGCTGATTAATATATATTGGTTAAACTTCATTAAGAATGTCTATGTTGACATCCATTTATCTTATCTATTTCCTATTTTT